GGAATCCATATCGCAGTTTTTGACTAGGTCAAGATGACTAGCAGAAGCCTGTGAGGTTGGTTTAACTCTTAATGAGATGTTTAGAGACTGTCTAGTTTGCAGGATAAATCATGTGACTAGGCAAAAAGGCCTACTGGCTGAAATTCAATTGGACTTCAACAGGTGCTACAACTGGCTTTATCACTGAAAAATGCAACGAGTGGAGCTCATGGGTTATAAGATATTCTGATGGAAGTGGACAACCTTGCAAGGCCACTTAAGCTTGGGGAACACCACTTGAGAGCAAGCAACTGAACAGCTTCATTCAGGACATATCCTGATAGGAGCAACTCGAGGTTGGCCAACAGCAAAACCCTAAAACAAAGCCAAATCTTAGGCAAACAGTTACAATTTTCTTCAGGATCCTGTCTGGTAAGACATTGTAATTGCTGTTGATATGCGAATTCGAGTGGCAACAGAGTCCTACTAGACTTAAATGGAGTAAGTTAACTTGTAGGCCAATATCCATGAGGATGTCTACGAGAGTCCATATCTTGGAAAGTCTACCTGCATCTGGTTTGGAACAGTTAGATTGCTTAGCAACATTCAAATCAGAACCAATCAAGCATAAACTGCTTAAATGCCCATCTGGTTAAAATGAAGGTTGTTACCAGTGCACCTGTATTGGTGATCGCAGAAACAGTTTTTAATAAAATTCACTCTGGACTCCAGCCCTTAAATTTGTGCAAGAATTCAGCTAGACTGAGAATCTATACTGGGAAATTTTTACAGATTGAGGCTACAACTTCAGTGCTGGTTTCTCATGAAAGACAGTTGCTTCGGTTACCAGTGACTGTAGTAGAAGGCTCAGGCCTAAAGTTGATGGGGTGAAATTAGTCGAAAAATATTCTCTTTGATCGGATCAACGTTTTTTGATTAGAAAACAGCTGCCTAAGTGAATACCTGAAAGTTTTCCATGAAGGTCCAGGGACCATCAGAGGACCTAAAGCAAGAAAGCAATTCTGCAATTCTTCAAGGCCTGTCCGGTACCATTTCCCTTACAGGCAAAAGTAAAAGCAGAACTCAGAAGACTAGAAGAAAGTGAAGGAATCATCCAATTCTTGGAATGGGCAGCATCGGTCATACCAATTTTGAAGCCCAGTGGGTCAGGTTGCCTTTGTGGGAATTTTAAACAAATTGTAAACTGTTTTCACAGTTGGATGAATACCCGATACCTTGGATAGAGGATTTGTACGCCGAGCTGGCAGGAGGTTTGTCCTTTATGAAGTTTGACATGAGCTACACTCACGTGCAATTGTATTTAGACCAGGAATCTCAAATGTATGCTACAATTAACACCCACAAAGGCTTGTACCAATATACAAGACTGCCACTGACGTATCATTAGTCTGTTCAATTTTTCAGCAGACAATGAAGAACATTTTGCAAGGTCTACCTCAGGTCTCCATTTAGCTAGATGATGTCCTGATAACGGGTAAAACTAATAAGGAACACGTAGAGAACTTGAATATAGACCTAAGGGGATTTTCTGAGGCAGGTGTATGCCTAAAATGGGAAAAATATGTGTTCCAGGCCCCCAAGTGATCTACTTGGGCTACAGGGTTGACAAGATCAGCTTACACCCATTGAAGATATAGTGAGGGCAATCAAATGTGCACTGGCCCCCATGTCTGTCCAGGAGCTTAGGTCATTTCTGAATCTAGTAAATTATTATGGAAAGTTCATACGCAACCTCGCATCCACCATTGCATCAACTCCTAAAAAAGGGTCGGCCTTTGCAAATAGTCTCATAGACAGGCCCTAGCTTTTGATGTAGTAAAGAATCAACTATCATCCTCTAATGTGCTGGCACACTATGACCCCAAGAAAGATCCGTGATGCCTCTCCACATGGCATTGGGGAGGTATTAGTTCGTAGGTGTCGCACTGGAGAGGAACACCAATTGGCTTATGTATCCAGGACTTTGGCTAATGCAGAGTGCAAATAGAAAAAGGATTGGAGGTTATATGTGGAGTCAGAAGGTTCAGCCTGTGCCATTATGGAGGAAATTTGTGATAATCACACACCACAAACCCTTACTTAGTCTACTTAAAGAGGATAAGACTATGCTGTCCATTACTTCAGCTGCATTCCGCAGTGGGCTCTGATACTAAGTGCTCATAATTATAAATTAGAACACTGTGCGGGAGGCCAAGCAGTGGATGCGGATGCATTAAGCTGCCTTCCACTGGCAGATATACTACCAATGGTACCCCAAATAGAACACTAGATCATGACACTGAATTTTCCAGACACGCTACCAGTCACAGCTAACAATATCAGACTTTTGACACAGAAATATGCAGTCCTTTCCAAAATGAAACAACTGGCATTAATGGGGTAAAACAAAGTACCATCTCAGCTAGAATTAAAACCTTTTCGGACCTGGAGAGCTCACAGTAGAGGACGTCATATTGTTCTGCGGAGCGAGAGTGATTGTTGCGAGCAAAGGTTGCTGTCAAATACTTGCTGAATTCTACCAGGGCCATCCAGGGCTATATAAAATGAAGATATTGGTGAGGAGTTATGCCTCTGGCCAGGCATGGACACAGATATAACGCTTTAGTGGGACAGTGTGCAGAGTGTCAACAAGGGCAAAAATTACTGCCAGCGGCTTCCCCACATCCGTGGGAATGGCCAGGAAAACATTGGATTCAGTTGCATGTCGACTATGCTGGTCCTTTCAATGTTTTTAGCCATTGAAGATGGCCACTCAAAGTGGTTGGAAGTGTATAGTGTCCATTCATCAGTCACTGAAGTGACAATAGAAAAATTGTGTACGTCTTTTGCGACATACAGAGTCCCAGAGCTATTGGTCATGGATAATGGGCCATTGTTTACCATCAGGGACTTTAATTACTTCCTAAATTGAATGGGATTCAACATATTAAGACAGTTCCATGCCACCCATGATCTAATGGCCTGAACAGAAAGATTGGTCCAAACTTTGAAGGCTGAAGAAACAGCCTATAGCCTCACTACATAACATGCTGTCATGGTTCTTAATTGATTATAGGATCACGCTACATGCTGCTAAAGGGGTAGGTATGATTGTCCTGAATAAGTATGTTTAAAAGCTGCAAATTCACAGACTGTGTGGGGGCAAAACTTGTCCTGCCCCGAGAGCCTTCAGAATACTTCAAGGATCCATTGATTCACCCCCTCCATCAAACATTGTCGAGTCCTCTGAATCAGAGATGTACGTGATGGAATTAGATGCCTTGACACTTCCTTTATTCATTCACGGGATGAGGGCGTTGCTGGCTAGGCAGCATTTATTGCTCATCCCTAATTGTCCAGAGGGCAGGTAAGAGTCAACATTGCTGTGGGTCTGGAGTCACATGTAGGCCAGACCAGGTAAGGATGGTAGTTTCCTTCCCTAAAGGACATTAGTGAACCAGATGGGTTTTTCCCAACAACTGGCAATGGATGGACATTATTAGACTCTTAATTCCAGATTTTTAAAAAAATTTAAATTCCTCCATCTGCTGTGATGAGATTTGAACCTGGGCCCTCAGAACAATATCTGGATTGCTGTATTAACTATCCAGCGATAATACCATTAGGCCATTGTCTCCCCCTTTCTGCCTCCAAAGAAGTGAGTGAATGTCTATGGAGGTCCTTTGAGCACAAGAAGCAAGCTCCTGCTCGTTACATACCTCCTGCCTTGGGTTCTGATTCAGAGGACTTGGTGTTAGAACACCCCAGGAAGCTCTCAAAAAGATCAGACCATCCTCCATCAGTGGACTCAGAGTGATTCAATAATTGTAACAAGGTCAGCCAGCTAGACCTCAAGGAATATGAGTTCCCTGATTGGCGCTGTTAATCTGGTCTAATCAGGGAAACCTAGCTGACATAAAAGGATGAATGTCAGGGAATATTGGGGCCTCTGAATGCCTGACTCAGTGAGAGGCAATGCTATTGTCAAAGGCAATGTGTTTGCAAATAGAGGGTGACTGGTGTTGGGATGCCAGCCTCTGAAGAGTTATTTTAGCCGGGTTTCCGATTTCCTCCCACAGACCAAAGACAGGGGTGGGGGGGAGGGCGGGGCGGACAATTACAACATTTAAAAGACATTTGGATAAGTACATGAATAGGAAAACATCAGAGAAGTATGAAAGTCAACATTTCAGCCAAAACCCTTCATCGGAACTGGGGAGTAGAAGAGGTCCCCAGGAATAAATAGAGGGAGGGGGCTGGGGCTGGGGAAAGGTGGGTGGGATGGTGATAGGTGGATGCAAGTAGGGGTTATTGTGATTGGTCAGTGGGAAGGGTGGTACCCATAAGCGAGTAGGAAGATGGACAGGCTAGGTCAGGGATGCGACTGAGGGCTGGACGTGGGATAAAGCTGGGGGGTGGAGGGATTTTGAAGCTGGTCAAGTCAATATTCCAGCCCTTGGGCTGTAAGCTCCCAAGGTGAAAATATCAAGTGTCGTTCTTCCTGTTGACGTTTGGCCTCACTCTGACAGTGGAGGATGTCAAGGATGGACATGTTGCTGGGGTGGCAATTAAAATAGATGGCAACCGGCGGTTGGTGCGTGCAGAGCGCAGATGTTCCACGAACCTGTCCCCTCGCCTGCGTCCCGTGTCCTTTCCTCATCATTACAACTGGGAAATAGTCATTGCCACATTTCTGTTTGTGGGAGGATTCGATAACGCCCTTTCGACGTTGCAACATTTCAAAAGTTGTTTTGCAAGCACCTACACAGATTTATCTATGATATGATTTGCTGTTCCCCTTCAGCATTGCATTGACAAATGTTGAAGCTGGAGATGAATTGAGCTCTGCCGATTTAGGGGACGCTGCAGCTCCATGCTGTTGGGTGAGAGAAGTACACTGCTCTCTTGTCGGGTTTCAGCCAAGGCTGACGTGCACGTCGGGGTCGGACCTTGTGAACCAATCCCAGCACTCCATGTGTTGTTTCAGTCAAAGGTGAAAGTTAATACTTAGGGGGTGGGGGAAGAGTGAAGATGGCGGTGGGCGTGTTGGGGAGTTGGCACTGATTCGTATTCATTCAAAGAAAGAAAGAGAGAGAGACTGATTTAGCAAAGCTGGCTTTTCTCCATGTGAATCTTTACAACGGGAGGGTTTGTTATTTAGTTTTGGTTTCACACGCTGCAGTTCTCCTCCCCACCCCGAACCCTCTCTGTAATCGCATGGTAAGGTGATGGCAGTGTTTGAGCTGGTCTGGAGGGTACTGCACACAGTGCTGTGCTTGCACCGGACGCTGTCGGCCTGGCTCCACCATGGAATGTGGGCCTGGAGGCGCTGGAACCCGGCGAGCCTGGCGTTCCGATTCCAGAACGCCAAGAACAAAGGCAAGAGCCGGCGCGCGCGCTGGCGCTCGGACGGACGCTGCCTGAAGAAGTTACCGCTGCACTTGGGGCTGGTAGTGACCGAGGACGAGAGCAGCTACACGGACATCGCTAACGTGGTGGTGTGGTGTATGGCTGTTGGCATTTCCTATGTCAGCGTCTATGACAACCAAGGTGAGCCGGGGGTGGAGAGGGTAGTTGCCCGAATGTAAACGAGCCTTCCATCCCCCCTCCTTTCCACACACACAAGAAGGGGGACACCCCGGGTTTCTGTACGCTGCCTGTCCACAAACTCGCGTGTTGTGCTACTCTTGA